CTTGGTACACATTTTCAGCTGCAGAAACTAGAAAGCGCCACCTTTAAATGAGTGCAAAGCACAAAAAATGCGGCTCCGTTTTCTATATCGAGCCCAGGCAGCTGATTTTTGCAGGAATGGCACCAAAAAAATGCCAAGTTCAGGCTGGTGCGAGGGAGTATGGTGTCTGGGTATAAAAATGAGTTAATTAAAGGTTGCTGGGGACGGTCTGGCACCAAAATTCGGCGCGAAAATCAGTTACTACGGTCGTTTTAGACGTTTTAAAGGGATAACGACAGCCCAAAAGAGCTAAAATGTGCTAATTTTTACTTTTAAAGGGACTGCGACACTAAATTTCAACAACACTGGTAGACAATAGTCCTTTAATGGAGAAACCCGCCAAGTATCATCTATTTAAGGAGAAAAAGGTGATTTCCCCGAAACTTTTGGCAAAGTAGCTGAGCGGAAACGGCTGGGCGAAGACTCTCGAAGGGGGGTGACCATGAAAATGGGAAGGTTTCATAGGAGAGAGAGAGAGAGCGAGAGAGAGAGAGACAGAGCCCAAAAAGGGGAGGCGGAGGAGGGGGTAAGGGGTCTGAATGGTCTGGCGAGGGAGGGCGAAAAGTGCATTTTGTTGCTATCTCTCTCGCTCTGTCTCTAACCCGCCATGTCTGTCTCTTTCTCTCTCGCTCTCTCCTTTCTATCGTCTCACTCTCGACAGAATCTCGAAATTCGAGAGAGAGCTAGGGATAGAGATTGAGAGAGAGCGAGAGCAAAAGAGTCCAAATCGAGAATCCGGTTCAGGCTATTGAAATGGAGCGGCCGAGACGGAGGAGCAGGAGGAGGAGGAGCAGCAGCAGATCGGATGGGGGGATAGTCGGGGCGTGAATTTTGCAAAAGTTTCCGAATCGCTACGATCAACGGGTGGACGGGGAGGATGGGTTTTTGATAGATTAAAGGGATTGTGAAGGCTTGACGGCCGTTCCAAAAATTTTAGTATCAACCGGCCTGACCCTCGACATTTTAAAGGGATGGTGACACATCCAAATTAGCTAAAATATTGAGTTTTAAGATTCGTAGGGCGATTTTTTAAAGCGCCGTATTCTAGCTATTGTAGTCCAAGACATCAAAAATGACCTCAAAACGACAGGTTTAAACTACGGTAACCCCTGAATTAAAATTTACATCTACGTGCTTGGTACAATTTGAGTGTAGCCAACTGATTAGAGGTGCCGGGTGCGGAATTTGAGAAGAAAAGTAGCGGTCGACCTGACGACCGGGTAGATGAGGGACCCTAATTGGGCCCTCCCAGGGCTACGCATTGGCCTATGGACGGACGGACAGACGGACAGACATTCGCAACATACAGACAGAGAGAGAGAGGGAGAGAGAGAAGCAGACAGATAGACCTGGAGAAGCACTACGGAAATTGGCCCCCTCATCCCGCTGGGGTCTACAATCTGAGCCCCCCAGGCTTATTAAAAGGTGCCCCTTCCGCAACCCCACGGATTAGAGGGGATTTCATCTCTCTCCCCCTTTTTTTTGTCTCTCTCTCTCCCTCTCTCACGCACTTTCCTTTTGGTATTTAGTGGCCAGAGTATCGGCCCGGAAATCCGGGACCTCCGGGACCCCTCCGCTACGAAACTGTACAGCTGACGGTTGGCGGGATTTTGGATTTGTGGGTACGTGCTGCGGAGTGTAGTGTACTAAGAAAGTCAAGGAACTGGAATATGGCCTGAAAAAAGCTCAAAAGCCAAAAAATCGGGATACTGTAGAAACTAAAAAAATTTCGCTTTAGATATGGCAACAAATTAAGCCGGGCCTTTTCCGGCGTTGTATTTTGGTGCTATTTTGATGCCAAAATTAGCGCCCACGCCACGAGAAGCCAATTTGGGCCGGCCGGCTGGCCAAACTGGTCTGGAACAGTGTGCACTTTTGTTTACGGTACACGGGAGCGTGGTGGGACCCCCTAATATGCGACCAAAAACCTGTGGAACCTGCAAAAATGGTCCGGCGGTTGGCTAGCTCTCTTCTCGCACTCTCTCTTCCTCTCTCTCTCTCTCTCTCTCTCTCTCTCTCTCTCTCGCTGGCTCCCTAATCAGTATCCCATTACGGTCAAAGTGGACCAAAAAATTTAGAATTTCGATGAGGGCACATTGATGAATTCTGGGTACAGGGAATGGGCGGTCTAGACAAGGCAAAAAAGCGCAAGGCCACAAAGATCAGAAAATTTACTGAAATCTGGAACGCATCTAGAAAAATATGATTTAGGCAAATTTCCGGAAAACCTAGTTGTCACTCTCCTTTAAATTATCCTAAAGGCTAGGAAACGAAATTTTGACGGAATCCTAATAAAATCCGGCTGTCACTCTTCCTTTAAAGGAGCCAACAAGCCTTGGAAATCCAAATTTTTATAGATTTTTGGCATGAAACAATTCTTTAAATTATTCGCTATCAAATTGACACTCAAAAATTACAAAATAGAGCTCTAACCACTTCGACTACACTGCTCAACCATACAAAAACCGGTATTGACGACAACTCGGTTACTGTAGCCAGTCCCCCGTTTTTGCCGCCATCGAATTGCCAAATTTCCGGTCCCAAGTTGCCATTTTGGCGGGCTACGCGTACGTGTGGCACCTATGGACGGAAATTGGGAAAGGAGTACTGTAGAGGCGATTTTGGGTGTCAAAGCACAGGCGGCGCATTAATGAAAGGTCGGGGGAAGCCGGGGAATCCGGCCCCGGGAAAAGTTTAATTTAACCCGGCTGCCGGTCCATTGAAGCGGTTAGCCAGCCGTTTTTGAAAAATATTTGCTCGCTATGCTGTTTTGGGGCGATTTAATGGAAGTTGCAAGCTAAAATTGGACGCGTCAATAGGTGCACTATGTAGTAGTACATTGGAGTGGGTCGAAAATTGCGGAATTTCGGGATTTAGGGGCAGAAAAATGATAAAATTAGACGTCGATAAGAACGCTACGTAACCGTACTCTAGACGAAACAAAATAAAGCCGAAAATTGTGAATTTAGAGCTAGGGAATTGACAAAAAATGCTACGTCAGGAGGTGTACTACGTAGCCGAGCTCTCGACTTGTCTAGAAAATGCCTAAATTACAAATTTAAAGCTGAAAAATAAATCGAAACATGGTGTCGATAGGAGCACTACGTAATCATACTCGAACCCCCCGAGAAAAGCTCATTTAAAGCTAGAATACTCCAAAAATTGTAGCGTCTATAGGACTACTACGTAGTCGTACACCCACTTTTCAATAATTCGCAAAAAGTAAATTCCGGTCTCGGTGGAACGAAAATCTCTTGACGTGCGAAATGAGGCGGCTGGACTTTAGGGGGCGGCGCGGCTAATCCGCTTCCGGGGATGCCCCCGGGGGGATTACGGTAGATGGGGTGTCGGATAGCAGGGAGAGCCAGTTGCCCTTTTGGATCAGCTACAAAAAAAAGGGGGATAAAAGTTTAAAATCTTCCGTTTGTCGCGTTTTAAAGGTACTTGGAAGGCAGGCGGACCCCTAAAAACCCCGAAAAATGACAATATTCCCCAGACAAGGAAGGGGTGATACCAAATCCGGGTGCCCCAGCCTGCGCATGAATTCAGTCCGAAACCCGAGCCGTGTATTTTGCTCTCGCTCCCCCAACCAAGCTTTCCCAAGCCCAAAAAAGCCCCAGAAATCCAAACCCTAGCTTCAAAGGCTGCCGCGGCACAAAATAAAAACATCCCAGTCTTTTTTCAGGGTCCTGGCGCGGTTTTGGAGATATTTGGCGCGGTGCCAAGTGATTTCGGTTGATTTCAGAAATAGGGCAAAACACAGAGGGGACGGGATTCCCGGGGTGTTACAGCGGTTTTTCGTTGCACTGTTCGTGCAGACGCGCCTAGTCGCTTTGAGGTTTTTTTGACGGATTATTGATGATTTTCGTAAAAAAAATAAAAAATCGGGGTAATACCACGTTTTAAAGGAACTATCAAGTGAGGAAAGTTTGAATTTTAGACATTAAGGGCTTCTAGAAAACTTTTCCCAGATTAACCTAGTTTAAAATTGATCAAAAAGCGCTTAAAAATTATCCCAACTTGGTGTATTGGTAGTGTGTTAAGGTACCAGGCCAGCTACTCGGGTTCAATCCCGGCCAATGCCAACTTTTTGCTTTTTGCTGAAAGTAATGCGTTACGTTACCTTAAGTGAACAGATACCTTAGAACCTAACAAATAAGAAAAATAACCCCTAAACTACGATGGCGTAGTGGTAGTATTCTAGGGTATCAGGCGAACGATGCGAGTTCGATCCCGGCGAGTGCCGAATTTTTGCGTTTTTGCACAGGGCCTAGAATTACGATACCTTACCTAAATAAAAGACTGTAAAAGCTGAAAATACTTATAAAAAGCCGTTCATCCAAAAAACGCCCAAAAAACGGGGCATCAGGGGACGGGTCGAGGCGGTGTGCTGTGGTGGTGGAAGGGGGACGGGCCCTTCGAGAAGTGCAGGGAATCAATGAGTGTGGAGGGCAAAGCGAGAGAGAGAGAGAGAGAGAGATGGGCCCTCTTTTCGCGAAACACCCCCAAAGGGCCAACCGGGAGGAAAAAACGGCTGCTGCGCTTTGGGACCCAGGCTGAAGGGGGAGGAGGGCCCCACATGCACTTTTCGAAGCGACGCCCCGGGACCCAATATCCACACACCAAACTAGCTTTTTTCATGGGGTTTCGGGGTTGCTCTAACAGTCGTTATCTCTCGCTCAGTGTCTGTCTCTCTCACTCTCGCAATTTCTCTGTCTTTCTCTCGCTCTCTCTTTCTCTCTCTCTCTCTACCTACCTCTCTAATTGTAAGGCGGAAATTGGAATTGGCAAACCCTTTTCGATCAGACTTTTGAAGGTTAGTACGATTTTCTCTTGTTTAACTTTTTCACCTTTCTTGTTAATTTCTACTTTTTTTAAGCCAATTACCGCATCTTTTTGAACTCTTATAACCATATTTTGACCGTTGCTCGAGCCCCAAAACCTTAAAAGAAATCCCCCTAAAACACGAACCTGCCCGACTGGGAGCGAACTACGAGAAGATTCGGGTTGTACACGTTGTGCTTGTTGAAGCGGCGGGCAAACTGGATTCGGTATAGTATGCGGCTCTTAATGGCTGGGTGATACCTGTGAGGTACCGCCGAACGAGACGGAGCGGCGGTCGTGGGTGGGCTGGTTGAAGAAGTCGTCCTCGCTGTTGTTCGAGTCTGGAAAAAGAGGGTATGGGCGGTACGGGAGCGTACGCGACAGTACGTGTATAATCCAGCCTACGTAACAGTACTCGTGAATACGCCGGACTACGCAACTTACCAAACGACTCATGCTGCTGCTGCTGTGCGAGAGTGTCGCAGCGTCTCCTATCTGGTTGGCCTCTGTTGTCTAGGTACGGTAGCCGGGCGTCTGGCATTGCGTCTGGCATCGGGGCATCCCATGTGAAGTGCTCTGGGTTGCTCATCACTAAAAATGGGTATCTTAAGTCAATTTTAAAGGTACCGCGACACTAGAGAAACGCTGAGGTCTAAGCCTATGCTTAAGCCAAGCCTAAGCCTAAGCCAAGCCAAGCCTAATCTAAGCCTAAGCCTAAGCCTAAGCATAAGCCAAGCCCAAGCCTAATAGGCAAAAACCTAAACCCACTTCCGGTCCTTGGAAGTCCGCGAAGATCACCAATTTTCACTGGCTCCAACGGCTGAAGCTCGGGGCTGCTGGGATTCTGAAATGCAAAAAAATTATTGCAACGCGACCGCGACGCGTCTACGACGTTCTTGTGAAAAATTGAAGCCAAAAACTTACCGGATACGCAAGGAATGGAGAGTTATTCTGCATGGTCTGCGGTGAAGAGACGAACGGATCGTCGATGTTGTTGAATTCTTGGAAGAGCTCGTCGAAGGGGTCCTTTTCCTGAAAGTGCACGTCAAGATGCACAGTGCCGGAAAGTGCCCAAAATTCACATGTATAAAAAGCTATTAAACTATTAAAAACGTGCAAAGCGAGATGAATTATGAGGGCCATTGGGGGTAGGCCAGCAGAGATCATTAGAGAAATCCATTGGTAAATGGGTTTTCGGTATGGCATGCTCGCAAAGATTCTTTGGGAAGGGTAGGCTAGCAGATAACGTTAACGGAAGTCTACGCACTAATAGGGTGTTTGGAACCGCGTGTCAGCCGAGGTTCTTTAGGAAAGGGCAGGTGGCAGAGATCTTTGGAGATTTTTCGCCGATTTTTAAAACATGGGATGCTAGCAGAGATTTTTGAGGAAGTCCAGCTGAGGCAGGGTTTTTAGGAGGGCAAACTGGCAGATATTATTTAGGATTTTCATAGCATGCAATTCTAGATGAAGCCATCACCAGTGCAGCAGCCACGATAAAAAAATGTGAAACTACATGTCTAGGCTTCATTCAAAGAGAGAGACGGAAAGAGAGAGAGCGAGAGAGAGAGGGAGTGAGAGCGAGAGAGAGAGAGAAAGAGAGAGAGAGAGAGAAGGAGAGAGAGAGAGCAGCCATCCACCAAAAGCGAGGAGAGCCATTCTGAAGGCTGGGGCCCGGGGGCAGCCCTACCTCCTTGATGGCTCCGCTGCTCCAGAGGATCGAAGAGTCTTCGCTTCTGATCATTTCTGCGTCTGTGGGTAGTTTGGATGTGGAATATCTGGAAGGAAAATCGATAATCAGAAGTCATACGATGCGGAAAAGAATTTCGCGAAAACACCGATCGATTTCCATCACAAATATATTTAAAATCTTTAAAAATACACTTCGAAACGTGAACCGTTTTGGGTTACGGTATCTGGCACGTATTTCAGCATCCAAGGAAGCAAATGGTGAGAAATCCAACCCGACAAGAAGCGAGGAATATCAATTCAGATGGCATCGAATTCCAATCGTGGCTCCGCCCCCTTCTTCTTTTTTGCCCTCCCCCGTCCCCTTTTTTGTATTTCGAAATCAACAGAAAGTGCAGAAAGTGCGAAATGAGCTGGCGGAAAGGGGAAGGAAATGGACTGGCTGGTCAACATTTATAGCGTCTCGGGGCCGGGTCGAATAAAAATTCCGCAGAAAGGGCATCGTTTAGAAAAACACAAGCGATCGTTCGGAAATGGTGGTCATTTTTGGTCTATTTTAGCATGGTTAAGACCAGAGACAAAACTAGATACTCAAGGTGAAATAGGGATGGGGGATTAAAGAGCAGTCGGTTGAAATGGTGAACTGCTTGAACTCGTCGGAAAAAATTTAAAGTCTCCGAAAGTGTGCCGAGAAAGCGCTCCTCATAAGCTTTTAAACGGACATAGATGTATATCGGAAAAATGAAGGGAAAAGGCGTAGTAGATTGAGATTGTTGCGGTTAAACTCCTCGAAAACGTGGCAATATCGCCGAAGAATCAGCGAAGAGACTTTCTTAAGCTTTAAATGGAAATTTTTAGGATTAGAAAATCCAGGCAAAAAAGATTTGATGGTTTTAGACATTCAAATGAGTCGCTAATTCAGGTCAAATCTTTATCTAAAAATTTTCTTAATTTAGATGCGTCAATTCCGGGTCCAACTCCAAGCTCTATAAGTGACCTACGGCTTATCAGACCTCCCCTAGCTGGTAACGCCCAATTTTTAACGCCCAGAAACTGCTGACTCATCCCGATTTTTCTATAGCGGGGTTTTTTAAAAATTTCAGCCGAAAAAATGGAGCCACCAATTTTTAATAATAGCCCTTTCCCCTGTTTCCTCATCAAAAATCGCGTGCGCGTGGCGTTGGAGCAAATCGGTGGCAAGGAAGGGGGAAGGGGGAAAACTGGTGCAAACAGGTTCCCTTATCACAAAGTTCTGCAGTTTTTGTCGAATGAACGCAGTGCAACAGGAGGTGTCAATCGGAAAGCGGCCACGGGGGGAGGCTACGTTACAATACAATCTACACATTGGAAGCGAGCTTTGAAGATTTTAACGTAACCTTAAAACGAAAATGAGAATTTTTGGAAAGCTCTTTTGGGAGGAGCTTCTGAAATCTGCATATTTTGCCGACCCATTGACTTTAACTTTAGACTTCCCGGCGTTAAAATTTTGTGCTGAGAATAAAATGGCGTAATCGGATAGCGGGCAAATATCCGAGACAGCATGAGAGAGAGAGGGGGGAGAGAGAGAGAGGGGAGAAGGAAGAGAGAGAGAGAGAGAGAGAGGGAGAGAGCGCGTGAGTGAGAAAACGAAAGGAACCGAAATAGAAAAAGTTTCCATCTGCTAAAAAAAAGCTAAAACCACGAAGAAAAAAAATCGAAAAAGCTGGGGCGAAAAACAACGATCTAATGGCATCCAGATGTCGGCGAAAATTGCTAGAAAAAAATACTATAGCTCGAAAAACCTACAAAATCAATTCAATGCCCGAAAAATCCAGAATAAAGGAAAAAAAATCGATGCTTTAACGGCACTTGGGCTGCATCGGCTAGGTGCAGTCTTGGGTCCGGAAAAAGGGTTACGGTAGAGGGTCAGGATATAGGAAACCTAGAAGAGACTGGGCTTAAAATAAAAAAGGTTTGCCAGGCAAAGTGCCAAAAAAGTGTGGTGCCCTTCACGATCGGGTTGGTCGGGCCTGCAGACGCGACACAAACAACTGAACCCGCGGCTTGGACTCACGTCGGGGTAGAGAGGAGAGAGAGAGAGAGAGAGAGAGAGAGGGAGAGAGAGAGACGCGGAGTGAGAGGGAGAAAGAGATAGAGACCCAGAGAAAGGGAGCGATTCCGGGGCCTCAGCGCTGAATTCCCCGCCCGACCCCCCGACATGTAAACAGGGTTGCTCGGCCGGGCGGAGGTTAGAGGGAGAAGAGAGATAGGGGGAATGGAGAGGGCCCAGCACTTGCACTTTCAGCCGGAATCACGGGGCGGAGGGGGGCAGGGCCAGAATATAGGAGACCAAGAAACTGCCAAGAGATGGAGAAGAAGAGGGTGAAGAGGCTCGCTGACGTTTCCTGCAGCTGATGAGCGGGGAATGGGTTTAGAGGGAACGGGCTTAAAAAGGCCGGGAAATATAGTGCAGACCATAAACCCGTCCCCCTCCCAAAAGCCAACCCATTTTCAAGCCTTTTTAGTTCCTAAGAGCGGAATCTGAAGGTAAAATTGCGGAGAGATAATTGAGGAAGAGAGACAATTTTAAAGGGATGGCGACACTTGGAGAAAAGGTCAGAACGCTGAGCAAGCTAGCAGAAATCCTTGGGGAATCTCAGAGGACTGTTAAACGAATGGTGACAGTCGCAAAAGCTCGAATTATCAGGACAGGTAGAAAAAACCCTTTGAGGAATCGTATCAAGCATTTTAAAGGGATGGTGACAACAGGAAAAACCGGAATCCGGCAGCAGCGACAAAACCTTCCAGAAAGGAATGGTTACAGCTAGCGAAAAGTCTAATTCTCAAAGCTATTTAGCAAACACCATTCAGGAACGGGCGGAAACAACGATTTTAAAGGGTCTGTGACAGATAACAGGAATTTTAAGCGGCCCCACTGGACCCTAAAAGTTGCGCTTTTCGGAGAGATGTAGCGGCAGGGGTTTCCCCCGGGACGCTAAACCAAAAATCTGGCCCGGCGCGACTATTTGCGAAGATGAGGAATAGGGGGCGGAGGTGGCCAAATATTGAACTGTTGCCGCGCCGCGCCAACGGGCCCAAAAAAGGATTGAAAACGTGATGCTCATCCCCTGGTCATCTACAGAACAGAGATATCTGAAGCTCTCTCTCTCTCTCGCTCTCTCTTGTTTTCTCTCGCTCTCTCTCCCTCACTCTCGCTCTCGCTTCTTGGCGTCATGCCAATGAATAGGCTACGAAAAACGCATCCTCAAGGGCAACCCCTCACATAATCCGTCATGAGGCCCAGAAGGGAATAGGGCGCCCAAAAAACGTCTGGCTTTTTGCCAGCGGGTCCCAGCACGGGGTTGGGAAATGGTGGCGGCAAGGAGATGTAAATTAGGGGGCTGAAAAAGAGGTGGGGAAACGACCCTGGGCAGCTGGTCAGGAAATATGGCGCGGCCCAGGGTCTGGGGCTACGGTAGCTGGGCCTGGGATTGGAACCTAAAAAAAGTTTGACCTCTTTTTGGGGCGTTTTAAAGGGATCGAGAAGGGTACGGTAGGCTGGCGACCACAGTAGGGAAGCGAAAATATCGGCACGATACGCTGATATAACTGAGCAGAGTAGTGAAACGGAATTTCAAATGCTACGGTCGTTGTAGCGAGTGTTAAAACGGAATTTCACAATTAAGGTAATTTTTAGAGGTTACGAGGCAGAATATTTTACTGAAAATTAAGCTTTTCGACCAATAGGGGCTACAGTAGCTGGATAGAGTAATGAAGCGGAATTTCGCCATCTAACACATTTTAAAGAGCATGTAAAAAAGGCCAAAGCAGGAGAAAGAGAGAGAGAGAGAGAGCGAGAAAGAGAGAGAGATTTAATGATTTTCCCTTCTCTTTAAATAGCCCAACCATTGAAATTCCGGAACGCTACTCCGTACCAGCCACAGAGTTTCAATAATCCGCCCCCCAGCCCACGGAAGCTTCAATGGCTAGCCCGAACTGATCAGCAAGTTCAATATTCTATGTAGTAGCCAGCCACGAATAGAGTGGTGGATCGGAAATCAGTGGCCAAGCGGCGAATTTCCCTCGATTTCCCAGGGGACACGTTTTAGCAGATCAAAAAAGGCGCGATTTAGGTTTTCGCGAAGTGCCCGGAAATTGGCGTGTGTAGCCGAGAGGTGTTCACGAAAACAATCGTGGGAATGGGGCACGGAATTTTGGGGGAAAAAGTTTTGGAATTGTTGCAGAGGTTTTGAAGGATTGGGGTAGGCTAGAGTATCAAAATTTGTAAAAAAGCGAAAAGGTGAGCATTGGGCAGAGAGCATTAGCAGAGATTTCTTGCGGAAAACAGAGAGGGAGAGAGCAGAGGCAATTGCGGAAATGGCGAGAATAAGACAGACGGAGACAATTTGGGGAAAGCTCTAGAGGGCTGGGCAAACTAGCAGAGACAATTTGGATAAGGGTTTCATAGGTTTCATAAGGCAAGCTAGCGAAGACAATTTAAGAAGCAAAAAAGCCCAGAAACCCGGAAAACTTGCAAAGACGATTTGAGAAACGACCCTCGGAGCCCTGGGCATGCTAGCAGAGGCGCTTTGCGAAAAGTATCTAGAATTCCGGATCAACCCGGTCAATCCAAAGATCATCGCTATACTACGTGACTTGCCCCGATCTAGCTAGCTCCCCACCGGGCTCCCCTATTCTGTATGAATCAGGGGGTAGCGCTCCGTTTTTGCCCTTTGACGGACGGTCAGCGTCCCCGCGAATCACGGCGGAATGGGGGGGCGAATGAAAGCAATTCGCGTCGGGGCATGGGAAAGGTCAGCATATAGGGCTTTGTCGGGTTTTCTGGCCCGATTTACTACAGCTACAGCTATTAAAGGTATCGATTAAGGTTTCGGCAGATTCTGGCGGGCCAATGTTTGCCTTGCCGATCCCTTTCAAGTTGATAGGAGCAAAAAAAAAACGAGATCTGAAATTTTTGACGTTGGGGAGTAAGACATCTATGCCTCAAAAGCTACGCATAACGACTTTAAAAAACCTAAAAAATACTGAAAAAAGCTGGGTTTCGACAGCTTGCCT